TTAGTACACGGTGGACCTGCAAAACTTTTTCTCGCATTACCTTTACTTCTGTGGAGAGAAAGCAGTGAACGGAGACAAGCGGATGAACCCTCGACATTTATACCAAGCGGATTGCGAAATGATGACTCACCGTGAAATCAACACGTGCGCCACTATATATGAAAATAACAAAAAAAAAAAAAAAAAAAAAAAACACGAGACTGAAAAATAAAAGCGAACGAGCGGATTGTCAACATAACGTATTTAATTTGCATATAAAAAATCACATTCCGAGCTCTCGAGACACGTCCAAACCTGTCTAGACTTGTTCCTGTTAGGTACGTACTTGTATCGCGCGGTCAGCTCCGAGCTTGGGGAACATCCGCTCCCCAAGCGCCTGCAGGCATGCGACATTGCACCAAGGTACTGCGGTGGGCTAGTTGGTTCATACTTAGTGTTCGAACAGCGCAAAGACGACAGGAAGATAGAAGAGAAGAGGACAGGACGAGCGCTGACTATCAACTGATGCTATTTATTCAGAAGAGGATGAAGTGCGCGAGACTCGAGAGTGCCAAAATGCCAGTCTTGGGTAGTAACGCGTTACTAGTAACCCGTTACTGTAACTTCGTTACTTTTTTGGTAACTTGTAACTGTAACGAGTTGCTTTTTAAAAATGTAACTTGTAACTGTAGTTCTATTACTTTTAATGGAGGTAACGACGAAAGTAACGACGTTACTTCTGTCGTTACTTTCTAGTGTTTTATGAATAATATATCACTGAATGCGGTGCAATTTAGCCATACCTTGCACTTTCCAAATCGTCTATTCCGACATTTCGAGTGTGAAGTTGGCCTTGCACAAAGTTGTGACTACATTCTCTCTCGCGAGTCACGACCCGAATATAGATTTTATTTTTATTACGTGTAGATTTTATGAAAAAAAATATCTAGTTATCTTTACGCATGCGCTTGTACTTAGTGACTGAACACTTACATCTTAGTGTCTTGAAGCACTATCTATGTTGTGGCTTTTCTTTTTTCTGTGCAAACGCTCTTTAATCGGGTGAATCAACCGTGAAACAACAATACACGTGGAGGGCTCTGCGCATGTCTCGTATTTTGATTAGCGCCACTACTGTGTACTGCGCATGTTTCGTATTTTGAATGGCGCTACTACTCTGGCATGGAAACTTTCAAACACTAACTTCGAGAAGCAACTGCTGCTAAGTTACAATATGAAGTAAAAAGCGTACTTTTTAATTTTATGCAAAAAAAAACGTTGCGAGGGGCGTTTTCTAGTTGTTTTTTTTTGTCATTTTTTGTGTTATAGAAAAGTAACTGAAAAGTAACGTCGTTACTTTTCAAAAGTAACTGTAACTGTAACGAGTTACTCTTTTGTTTCGGTAACTGTAACGGTAACTTCGCTACTTTTTTCTGAAAGTAACTGTAACTGTAACGAATTACTTTTTAAAAGGTAACTTACCCAAGACTGCAAAATGCACTTTTTTCATCAGACACACGCGCGGCAGCTTTTTGCACGGGAATGGCCTGTGCCAGCAGGCGTCACCTTTTCTTCAACCGAAAGCGCAACCAGAAAACAAAAGAAAGAAAAGAAAAGAAAGGAAAAGGAAAAAGAAAAAAGAAAAGAAAAAAAGAAAAAGAAAAGAAGAAAAAGCACGTGCTATAGTTTGCTGACCCAGGCGTGGTAACCTTCGCCACCAGGAGACCATTGAGCGTGCGATTGCCGCCTTTCTTCATTTAGGAGCCTTTGTGTAGATTCTGCGCATTGTGATGTCCAGCGGTCTTCGCCTGATGGTGACCAATGATCTTGGAAAGTGTCAACTAAACTAAGGCCTTTCCCGCACATGCCTAGGTTGCTCTTCAAGGAATTCTATTTCTTTGGCAAGCAAGGTTATTGATGGAGAGCTGATGGCTCCTTCCCCTCTTTTGTATATCGAAAAGGCCTCCACGATCTCCCGCGTCCTAAAGTCGTTATGTCTTTTTAGGATGGTACATTGACCGAACAAAGGGGAGCACAAACAGTCGCTGCAATGCCTAACCAAGTTACTGCCTGAGGTGTTTCCTATGGAGGCGGCATGTTCCCTCAGTCGATCATTGATACATCTTCCGGTCTGCCCAATGTATGAACGACCGCAGGAGAGAGGTAAGTCATATACAGCACCTTCTGTACATTCCGTGAATTGTCTCGCGTGCTTCTTCCCGCATGGTGTTTGGGAGATGGAGAAGGGTGTAGAATTCACCTTTTTGCACATCCGGCCAAGCTTGTTGGGTGCCGAAAACACAACTCTGACTCCTACCTTGGCTGCAGTTCTTTTGAGGCTGTGGGAGATTCCATGAAGATACGGGATGACTGCCGTGGGTAACTTTTCCTTGGTTACATTTTGACAAGGTTCAGCTTGGCTACGAGACTCTTGTAGAAGCCTCTCCGCCACGCTGCATATAATATGATGTGGGAAGCCCGCATTTTTCAGTCGATTCACTTGAGTGGTAAAGCTACTCGAGACCTGGTGGTGACAAGACCTGTGAAGGGCGTTTTTTATGGCTGCAACCGCAATGCCTCTCTTGACTAGCTTTGAATGTGCGGATGAAAACGGAAGGAAGGATTTTTTAGAGCGGGGCGAATACTTCAAACAGACATGATCTCCGGATAGAAGTGTCAAATCTAAAAATCGCAGCTGTTGCTCCTCGGGTAACTCATTTGTCAGAGTGAACGGGCGAAGAGTAGACTTGAACGTATTAAAAATATCTCCCACATCTTTTGATCCAGTGTCATCGGATGGTCTGTACAAGACAAGAAAGTCATCAACGTATCGAAATATTTTGATGACTGACAAGTCCCGGAGTGAAATTTCTAATAATCTGTCATAGAAGGCTAGGAGTAGATCACTGAGCGCCGGGGCTATGCATGATCCTATACAAACACCTTCGCGTTGCCGGTAAAACTCACTCCTGAACACTACTGTTGTGGAGCGTAAGTAAAGCATGAGGAGATTCAAGAAGTCCTCAGCTGCGATACCGACTGAGTTCTGAAATTTTAGAGGTCCATATCTATCAATGTCGTCGTTGACTGTTTCACAAATAGAGTCGTGAGGAAGGGAATAGTATAAGTCCTTAATGTCCACAGAGAAGGCCAAAACCTTCCCTTTGGGAAGTTGTTGAAGGTAATCTGACACCATGGACGGTGTTCTGACCAAGTAGGGATCTTCAACTTCCAAGACGAATAAGGACTTCTGGAGGTAGTACCCCAGAAGGCGCTGCCATGTTCCTCGTTCACTCTGACATGTTCACTCTGACAAATGAGTTACCATGTTCGCTCTGACAAATCAGTTACCCGAGGAGCAACAGCTGCGATTTTTAGATTTGACACTTCTATTCGGAGATCATGTCTGTTGGAAGTATTCGCCCCGCTCTAAAAAATCCTTCCTTCCGTTTTCATCCGCACATTCAAAGCTAGTCAAGAGAGGCATTGCGGTTGCAGCCATAAAAAACGCCCTTCACAGGTCTTGTCACCACCAGGTCTTGAGTAGCTTTACCACTCAAGTGAATCGACTGAAAAATGCGGGCTTCCCACATCATATTATATGCAGCGTGGCGGAGAGGCTTCTACAAGAGTCTCGTAGACAAGCTGAACCTTGTCAAAACGTAACCAAGGAAAAGTTACCCACGGCAGTCATCCCGTATCTTCATGGAATCTCCCACAGCCTCAAAAGAACTGCAGCCAAGGTAGGAGTCAGAGTTGTGTTTTCGGCACCCAACAAGCTTGGCCGGATGTGCAAAAAGGTGAATTCTACACCCTTCTCCATCTCCCAAACACCATGCGGGAAGAAGCACGCGAGACAATTCACGGAATGTACAGAAGGTGCTGTATATGACTTACCTCTCTCCTGCGGTCGTTCATACATTGGGCAGACCGGAAGATGTATCAATGATCGACTGAGGGAACATGCCGCCTCCATAGGAAACACCTCAGGCAGTAACTTGGTTAGGCATTGCAGCGACTGTTTGTGCTCCCCTTTGTTCGGTCAATGTACCATCCTAAAAAGACATAACGACTTTAGGACGCGGGAGATCGTGGAGGCCTTTTCGATATACAAAAGAGGGGAAGGAGCCATCAGCTCTCCATCAATAACCTTGCTTGCCAAAGAAATAGAATTCCTTGAAGAGCAACCTAGGCATGTGCGGGAAAGGCCTTAGTTTAGTTGACACTTTCCAAGATCATTGGTCACCATCAGGCGAAGACCGCTGGACATCACAATGCGCAGAATCTACACAAAGGCTCCTAAATGAAGAAAGCCTCAATCGCACGCTCAATGGTCTCGGTTGGACATTTGAGAAAAGGCACATGGAAGTGACGTAATGCAAAGGAGGAGCGTATCCTAGCAACACTCACGTGGCGGCTCTGCCCACTTTGACGCCGCTACGTCATCGCAAACTTGACACCCGTCACCCGTTTCAGCGACGTCCGAAGCCAACCACCGACGAGCGGAAGTAGCTACGCATTCCCTGAGGCGTCCCTACGCGCGGGATACGGGGTAGGATTTACTACGACGCGGGGAGCAGTTCCTGCGTTTAGCGAAGGAACGGCAACCAATCCTGTGCGTCGCTGGCCGTCGCATCTGTTCTGGTACAGGTAAAAGTATTGAAAAACAATCAAAACCTTTTGGGCGTTGTTAAAACAAACCGCTTTTTTGTACCCTTTTGCAATACATTTAAGAATTAATTGGAGAGAAAGTTGTTCCAATATTATGCGAATGTGCACTACGCGCCTTCTTCAAACCAAAATGTCGAACCACGAGGAGCCGGGTGTGCCGGGGGCAGCGGAGGGGTCGGCGTAACCAACGGGGAGCGCGCGAGAGACGGCTGCTTTAGTCAGAAACAATTTTTTTTATCTTTCGAGAACTTGCTATTGCTGTGCTCAAATAAGAATGTTTGGCGCAACATCTGTGATAATTCTTTCAAAGTGGTCCAGTGTTTATATGGTGGTATGCTAGTCAGAGAATATTTTTTTTTTCCTTTCGAAATTTAACTATTGTGCTCAAATAAGACCAGAGTGTTCAACAAGATATCTGTGATATATACTTAAGATTGCCCAATTGCTTACATGGTTCCAGTCGATGCTCAGTTTTACTTCTAAAAATGAAATATTACATTCCACGTTGTCACACTTTTATTCATGAAGTCACAGGTTTTTCTTTAAGAAATAAAGCAATTTTCAAAACAAACTACATGTGCACTGTCTTGAGATAACACAATCACCTAACTTTGATGAAGTACCATAAAAGAGATAATAAAATGGAGCAGAAGGCAAGACGCTTTGAAGCTTTTGTAAAATGAAACAATGTCCATGACAATAATATCCCTGGTTCAATCAGCAACTAAGAAAGCAACCTCTGCAAAAGCAAGCATTTCTTTCTACTGGTAGTCTAAATTACTTCTGAGTTCTTTGCAGGGGCAATCCAGATGACCTGTTGGTCTGGCAACTAAACCTCCGAACCTTTTCTGTCACTGTCGACTGCGTCTCGTGCCTTCTGCTCATAAAAATAAAAAAAAGGCTGTATCGATTTCACCGCGATCCACTCGACACGTATCCGGAGGCAGCACGCTGGCTGTGCGACGAACTTCACAAGGTGTAGGAGCTGAAGAGAGTATGTAGCTTGTGGACGGCCATGACTGTGGAGCAGGAAGTGAAGTGGGCACTTTACGGCTTCCACGGGGAGGGCTTCACTGAGGGCAAGGATGTGACGGGGTCCTTGGTGGTCAGGACCTCAGTCGTGGTGGCGAGAGGTTCCCTGTCGCTGGCGGCGTCCGTGCTGGGCACCACCGCAGCGAGGGCGCTCAGGGGCTTCCCGACGGTGTCCCTGGTGGTCGGGACTACCGTCGTGGCGGCGGACCCCTTGCGTGTGGCGCTCCGCACGGGCACGTCTGCGGCGGGTTCCGAACCGGGCGACAAGGCGCTGCCTCAGAGCCTTCCCCCTGTCCGAGAGGCCGACCGGAGGGCCGGCAGGAGCCAGCCTCTCGGGAGCCGACGCTGACCTGTCCGAGCTCGGCTCAGAACCGTCCGAGCTCGGCTCAGACTCCAACTCTGACTCTTCAGGGTCGGAGTCTGACTCCGGTTCTGGCTCGCTCGATGCAAGGCAGATGTTGTGGAGCACTGCACATGCTGAAATAATGGCGGTGGCTGTTGAAGGGTGGTAATACAGAGCCCGGTGCCTTTGCAGACACCGGAATCTGTTTTCCAACAGCCCGATGCAGCGCTCCACAACAGACTTGATCGAGGAATGCGCCTTATTAAACCGGCCGCAAGCGGTGGAGGTCGCGTGGTTCCCGGGGACAGGGATGATGAGCCAAGGCTCCAAGGGGTAGCGGCTGTCACCTGCACATGTAGAGGATGGAACATATTACATTCTTTACTTTTTAAAATGAAAGGCAAGAAAACAGCAAAAACAGCTGTGTGCAACTATGTCAATTATAATGTAACTTAAGTGTGATTTAAAAGTGTGTTAATATTTCTGCACTACAGTATCAGTTTACATTATGATCAATTCGCACCAGCTTGCCTGCAAACTCCCTGTTATTTCATGTAACTATGTGTTTTCCTGGTGGGTTGTATGGGATGTGTGCACGATTCCTTAGGGGTGCTGTGTTGTATGCAAGTGCATTATTAGGCCCTTGCATCCGACAGATAAAAGCTCTGTTGCTTTTGGGAGTGTGGCCGTGACCTTAGGCACGGGCAGAGCAGAACACGCTGGCCTTGTCTTTGGCAAGCAAGGGGATAAGGCGCCAGTTCGACGAACCTCTTTCCTAATCCTCGGTGAAGTTGGAGATGGGGAAAAGAGAGGGGGTGGTTAGATTGGAAAGGAGTCAGTTCCTGTTGGGACACGGAGGGTCTAATAGGAGGAGCTATATAGGCAGACCGAAGAAGAAGGGTCAGGGAAAAGAATCCAGTGTGTGGGACAGAGACGACCCGAGGACAGATTTGGCGAGCCCCAAGTGGCCAAGGAGGAATTGATCCCATTCCGTACAAACTGACGACTGTCAAAGCGACCAGGCGAGCCCCCAGGGATCGGCGAAAGAGCTCCAACTTCATGCAAAAACCAACCAGCAAGAGGGTACAGGCAGACAGTAACAGTGAGTGGGCCGAACCGGACAGCGACTCGCACTGCGGTCGCATGCCTTGCATAGTCTATCACTGTCGTGAGATTGGTGTAGTGTGGCTTTCGTAGCCTGCAGAGTGTGAGAGGTATGTGGACATAAACAGAGATTAATGGCCAAACTTTGGGTGTTGTCTCACTTCAAGGAGTTCCAGCAACTGTGTCTGTGTGCCTCACAACAAGCACAGTACGTGTGGTACTGTGGCTTTCAAGCAGTGGGAGCCACCGTGTGCGTAAGGAATGAATTTAGTATGCTCACCAAGCAGGAACCAGCCGTCGCGTGGCACCTGCCCTTGCTCGAGTTGGTTTCGGAACCAGGAAAATTGCCACACGAAGGAGTCGTGCACCGACCCTGGATACCGTGGGTCGATGCACATTATCCGGCAGTCGGCGTCACACACCTGAAAGTGAGACAGATATTGACATGTAATTACATGAATCCACAAGTAGTAGATTGTACTTATGGTTCACAAAGCAGTCGCAATATCAGAACCTTTTAAGTTATTTTCTCTGACACATGCATGTCAACACACCTTCCTGGATGCAAGGTACAACTAACTACCTTGAAACAAAAATACTGTGTTTTTTGTTTTTTTTTACGGAAGCTTGCACGTTTTAACAGACAAGTATTATTTTTGGGAGAAGCGTCTCACGGCTCACATGCTACGTAGAGCACACGCTCGCGCAGTCGTGAGACCCCACAGCCCGCAGTCATAAAACGGCATACTTAAACCGTATCGGCAATACGTTTTTTTTTTTTTTTTTTTTTACAGATTTGGGGCGCGTTTTGACAACGTAACATGAGTGTACTTACCACCATCACGTTGAGGGCGTAGAAGTACTTGCGGCACCAGTACGCCGCCTTCGTGACGGTGGGGTCGTTCTTGGACGGGCCGACGATGGAGACCATGGTCCCGTCCACGCAACCGATGACGCCGGGTATCCTGCCGAGCAGCCTGAAGCCCTTCTCCGCGTCGAACCTCTCGCCCGGCGTCTCGGGGAAGTGGATCCAGCCACGCTGGACCCCGAGACGACGCACGATAGCGACGGACACGGCGCGGACCGCAACGCTGACTGTCTTTTGGTCCCGCGCTACGTGTTCGACGCTCGCCACCATGCCTTGGAAGCTTCCCGTGCCGTAGAAGCGCAGTGCACACAACAGTTGAAGCTCCACAGTCATGACCGTCCACGAGGTATGTACTCTCCTCACCTCCGGTTCCTCGCGAAGTTCGTCGCACAACCACCGCACCACGATCTTGGGCAGGCGGTATTGCTTCCGAAAGATCTCCTCCGGGAGCTCGAATGCATCGCGGTGTTCCCGATAGAGCCTTTCTGGCGAAAAAAAAAGCTCTATTAAAGAAAAAGTCGAAGTGACGAGACGGCGAGGCCTCGCCGCCGAAAACATGCTGCCAATGACACCTAGTTCCGAGCAAGTACCTTTTGAAACGTACTCGGTACAAAACGAAACGTCATTTTGTTGTCACGTCCGGTAGCCGACTCCGCCCAGTTTTGCCGACTCCGCCCACATTTTTCTAGGGAAATTACGTCACTTTTGCTTCCAACCAATCAGACGTGATGACGTCACTTCCGTGTACTAAAAAAAGGTACATGTACAATGTCGAACCTAGCTATCCTGGATAGCTAGGTTCGACATTGTACGTGTACCATTTTTTAGTACACGGAAGTGACGTCATCACGTCTGATTGGTTGGAAACAAAAGTGACGTAATTTCCCTAGAAAAATGTGGGCGGAGTCGGCAAAACTGGGCGGAGTCGGCTACCGGACGTGACAACAAAATGACGTTTCGTTTTGTACCGAGTACGTTTCAAAAGGTACTTGCTCGGAACTAGGTGTCATTGGCAGCATGTGTTCGGCGGCGAGGCGTCGCCGTCTCGTCAATTCGTCTTTTTCTTTAATAGAGCTTTTTTTTTCGCCAGAAAGGCTGTATCGGGAACACCGCGATGCATTCGAGCTCGTGGAGGAGATCTTTTGGAAGCAATACCGCCTGCCCAAGATCGTGGTGCGGTGGTTGTGCGACGAACTTCGCGAGGAACCGGAGGTGGGGAGAGTGCGTACCTCGTGGACGGTCATGACTGTGGAGCTTCAAGTGTTGTGTGCACTGCGCTTCTACGGCACGGGGAGCTTCCAAGGCATGGTGGCGAGCGACGAACACGTAGCGCGGGACCAAAAGACAGTCAGCGTTGCGGTCCGCGCCGTGTCCGTCGCTATCGTGCGTCGTCTCGGGGTCCAGCGTGGCTGGATCCACTTCCCCGAGACGACGAGCGAGAGGTTCGACGCGGAGAAGGGCTTCAGGCTGTTCGGCAGGATACCCGGCGTCATCAGTTTCGTGGACGGGACCATGGTATCCATCGTCGGCCCGTCCAAGAACGACCCCACCGTCACGAAGGCGGCGTACTGGTGTCGCAAGTACTTCTACGCCCTCAACGTGATGGTGGTAAGTACACTCATGTTACGTTGTCAAAACGCGCCCCAAATCTCTAGAAAAAAAAAACGTATTGCCGATACGGTTTAAGTATGCCGTTTTATGACTGCGGGCTGTGGGGTCTCACGACTGCGCGAGCGTGTGCTCTACGTAGCATGTGAGCTTCCGTAAAAAAAAAAGAAAAAAAAAACATTATTTTTGTTTTAAGGTAGTTAGTTGTACCTTGCATCCAGGAAGGTGTGTTGACATGCATGTGTCAGACAAACTAACTTAAAAGGTTCTGAAATTGCGACTGCTTTGTGAACCATAAGTACAATCTACTACTTGTGGATTCAGGTAATTACATGTCAATATCTCTCTCACTTTCAGGTGTGTGACGCCGACTGCCGGATAATGTGCATCGACCCACGGTATCCCGGGTCGGTGCACGACTCCTTCGTGTGGCAATTTTCCTGGCTCCGAAGCCAACTCGAGCAAGGGCAGGTGCCACGCGACGGCTGGTTCCTGCTTGGTGAGCATACTAAATTCATTCCTTACGCACACGGTGGCTCCCACTGCTTGAAAGCCACAGTACCACACGTACTGTGCTTGTTGTGAGCACACAGACACAGTTGCTGGAACTCCTTGAAGTGAGACAACACCCAAAGTTTGGCCATTAATCTCTGTTTATGTCCACATAACTCTCACACTCTGCAGGCTACGAAAGCCACACTAGACCAATCTCACGACAGTGATGGACTATGCAAGGCATGCAACCGCAGTGCGAGTCGTTGTCCGGTTCGGCCCACTCACTGTCACTGTCAGCCTGTACCCTCTTGCTGGTTGGTTTTTGCATGAAGTTGGAGCTCTTTCGCCGATCCCTGAGGGCTCGCCTGGTCGCTTTGACGGTCGTCAGTTTGTACGGAATGGGATCAATTCCTCCTTGGCCACTTGGGGCTCGCCAAATCTGTCCTCGGGTCGTCTCTGTCCCACACACTGGATTCTTTTCCCTGACCCTTCTTCTTCGGTCTGCGTATATAGCTCCTCCTATTAGACCCTCCGTGTCCCAACAGGACCTGACTCCTTTCCAATCTAACCACCCCCTCTCTTTTCCCCATCTCCAACTCCACCGAGGATTAGGAAAGAGGTTCGTCGAACTGGCGCCTTATCCCCTTGCTTGCCAAAGACAAGGCCAGCGTGTTCTGCTCTGCCCGTGCCTAAGGTCACGGCCACACTCCCAAAAGCAACAGAGCTTTTATCTGTCGGATGCAAGGGCCTAATAATGCACTTGCATACAACACAGCACCCCTAAGGAATCGTGCACACATCCCATACAACCCACCAGGAAAACACATAGTTACATGAAAAAACAGGGAGTTTGCAGGCAAGCTGGTGCTAATTAATCATAATGTAAACTGATACTGTAGTGCAGAAATATTAACACACTTTTAAGTCACACTTAAGTTACATTATAATTGACATAGTTGCACACAGCTGTTTTCTTGCCTTTTATTTTAAAAAGTAAAGAATGTAATATGTTCCATCCTCTACATGTGCAGGTGACAGCGGCTACCCCTTGGAGCCTTGGCTCATCACCCCTGTCCCCGAGAACCACGCGACCTCCACCGCTTGCGGCCGGTTTAATAAGGCGCATTCCTCGATCAGGTCTGTTGTGGAGCGCTGCATCGGGCTGTTGAAAAACAGATTCCGGTGTCTGCAAAGGCACCGGGCTCTGTATTACCACCCTTCAACAGCCACCGCCATTATTTCGGCATGTGCAGTGCTCCACTACATCTGCCTTGCATCGAGCGAGCCAGAACCGGAGTCAGACTCCGACCCTGAAGAGTCAGAGTTGGAGTCTGAGCCGAGCTCGGACGGTTCTAAGCCGAGCTCGGAGAGGTCAGCGTCGGCTCCCGAGAGGCTGGCTCCTGCCGGCCCTCCGGTCGGCCTTCCGGTCGGCCTCTCGGACAGGGGGAAGGCTCTGAGGCAGCGCCTTGTCGCCCGGTTCGGAACCCGCCACAGACGTGCCCGTGCGGAGCGCCACACGCAAGGGGTCCGCCGCCACAACGGTAGTCCCGACCACCAGGGACTCCGTCGGGAAGCCCCTCAGCGCCCTCGCTGCGGTGGTGCCCAGCACGGACGCCACCAGCGACAGGGAACCTCTCGCCACCACGACTGAGGTCCTGACCACCAAGGACCCCGTCACATTCTTTCCCTCAGTGAAGCCCTCCCCGTGGAAGCCGTAAAGTGCACACTTCGCTTCCTGCTCCACAGTCATGGCCGTCCACAAGCTACATACTCTCTTCAGCTCCTACACCTTGTGAAGTTCGTCGCACAGCCAGCGTGCTGCCTCCGGATACGTGTCGAGTGCATCGCGGTGAAATCGATACAGCCTTTTTGTTTTTTTATGAGCAGAAGGCGCGAGACGCAGTCGACAGTGACAGAAAAGGTTCGGAGGTTTAGTTGCCAGACCAACAGGTCATCTGGATTGCCCCTGCAAAGAACTCAGAAGTAATTTAGACTACCTCTAGAAAGAAATGCTTGCTTTTGCAGAGATTGCTTTCTTAGTTGCTGATTGAACCAGGGATATTGTTGTCATGGACATTGTTTCATTTTACAAATGCTTCAAAGCGTCTTGCCTTCTGCTCCATTTTATTATCTCTCTTATGGTACTTCATCAAAGTTAGGTGATTGTGTTATCTCAAGACAGTGCACATGTAGTTTGTTTTGAAAATTGCTTTATTTCTTAAAGAAAAACCTGTGACTTCATGAATAAAAGTGTGATAACATGGAATGTAATATTTCATTCTTGGAAGTAAAACTGAGCATCGACTGGAACCCTGTAAGCAATTGGGCAATCTTAAGTATATATCACAGATATCTTGTTGAACACTCTGGTCTTATTTAAGCACAATAGTTAAATTTCGAAAGGAAAAAAAATATATATATATATTCTCTGACTAGCATACCACCATATAAACACTGGACCACTTTGAAAGAATTATCACAGATGTTGCGCCAAAGATTCTTATTTGAGCACAGCAATAGCAAGTTCTCGAAAGATAAAAAAATTGTTTCTGACTAAAGCAGCCGTCACTCGCGCGCTCCCCGTTGGTTCCGCCGACCCCTCCGCTGCCCCCGGCACACCCGGCTCCTCGTGGTTCGACATTTTGGTTTGAAGAAGGCGCGTAGCGCACATCCCGCATAATATTGAAACAACTTTCTCTCCAATTAATTCTTAAATGTATCGCAAAAGGGTACAAAAAAGCGGTTTGTTTTAACAGCGCCCAAAAGGTTTTGATTGTTTTTCAATACTTCTACCTGTACTAGAACAGATGCGACGGCCAGCGACGCACAGGATTGGTTGCCGTTCCTTCGCTAAACGCAGGAACCGCTCCCCGCGTCGTAGTAAATCCTACCCCGTATCCCGCGCGTAGGGACGCCTCAGGGAATGCGTAGCTACTTCCGCTCGTCGGTGGTTGGCTCCGGACGTCGCTGAAACGGGTGACGGGTGTCAAGTTTGCGATGACGTAGCGGCGTCAAAGTGGGCAGAGCCGCCACGTGAGTGTTGCTAGGATACGCTCCTCCTTTGCATTACGTCACTTCCATGTACCTTTTCTCAAATGTCCAACCTAGCGATCCTGGTGGCGAAGGTTACCACGCCTGGGTCAGCAAACTATAGCACGTGCTTTTTCTTCTTTTCTTTTTCTTTTTTTCTTTTCTTTTTTCTTTTTCCTTTTCCTTTCTTTTCTTTTCTTTCTTTTGTTTTCTGGTTGCGCTTTCGGTTGAAGAAAAGGTGTCGCCTGCTGGCACAGGCCATTCTCGTGCAAAAAGCTGCCGCACGTGTGTCTGATGAAAAAAGTGCATTTTGGCACTCTCGAGTCTCGCGCACTTCATCCTCTTCTGAATAAATAGCATCAGTTGGTAGTCAGCGCTCGTCCTGTCCTCTTCTCTTCTATCTTCCTGTCGTCTTTGCGC